AATGATCTCTAGATGATTTACATGACCTAATACAAAGAAAATGCTTTGTGTAAATAGGTGTTACACTGTGTTATTTAGGAAATGAGGACGAAGGAAAGTTTCTATGTGTTCAGACACAACGATTCTTCTTTTGTTGTTGTTCCAAATATTTTCAATCTAATCTTCATTGAATCCATGGATGCAGAACCCATGGACACAGAAGCCTGATGGCATTTCCCTGCTTCTATATACCCTTCATTACTGTATATATGCAAAGAGCAAGCTGTATTACTATCAGCGGGAAAAAGGAGGTTGGGGAACCTTGAAATATACTTCAAAAATGTTTATAAAAGTAATTTCCTAAACTTAAGACAAAACATCTCACCTTTCCAATAGAAAGAAAAGCGAGACGACAAAGACATAACTAAGAAAGCATCTCTTACAAGAGGTTGTGTGTATCAGGGGTATTGGAAAGATACCAAACATGCCAAGCAACTAAACCAAATAGAAATAAGAAATAATAAACCCAGCAGGTAAGAAACAGTTCAAGGTCTCCCTTTAAAAAAATCAAAAGAAAAGGAAGCTAATTATGCCAATGCAATAGGTTCCCTTTATTACCTTCTTCCCCTTTCCCTAATCAGGTAAGAATCTCTTTTGGAAACTTGTCCACAACTGGTTTTATACTAAGTCTACCTATGTTAATTGTTTAGGAGGAAATATAATTTACAAAAACAATGCCACTCATTATTTACAGGGACAGAACAATGGCTTGTAGCAACTGCACAGTGAAATAGTCCATAGTCCTTATCCCTAGAACTGCATGGTAGGCTGATTCTTCTAAGAGCTCATTACATCTTTCTTGATGGGATGAATCACACGCTCTCCACAGACTAGCTGGCCTCTATATTCACAGCAACACTGACTTAATAAGGAAGACCAAAGAGGTGGCAAAGATGATTAAAGTATTCACACCGATTGAAATACTCTCCTGCAGGATAAAATATTAACATGTTTACTTTCAAACGAAAATACAGCCTCTAGCAAGAAACTTTCCACACCAAGTGTGAGCAAAATGTTCCCTAAAACAGTTGGAAAAGGTAGTCAGCCACAAAATACTGGACACAAAGGTGAGTATGTCAAATAACTTTGAAAAAAGCCACAGCTCCCTTACCCTCTCCATCTCACTTCCGAATAAAAGCGTTAAAATTTTTCAGAAATCCAGAAGCCCATGGGACCCTTGGACTCTTCAGGCTCTCAGGCAATAGAGTATCATCATCATCTGTACACCCTGCCCACTAAGCCTAATAGTGGAATGAGATTATGACCACTATTTCAACAAGGAAGACTCCACCTCTCATTTGTGGTTTTGAACCAAAGGAGAGAGTTTGACCTGATGGTGCTCTAACGTATCAGAATACAACTTTCCTGCTTAGAAACAAGAGATTTTAATTTAATGTTATTCTAAAATAATTTACTCTATTCATTTAACTTGCAGGAATATAAACCACTTAACTATGAAGATGAGTTATTTAAAAATGTTAACTGTTTTTAACCACTAGAGATCACTAAATCAGAGGGCTATGAATGCACAACTAATTTATTTCCACAATTTTACACAGAAAACCTGAACCACGACACACTCATAAGAATTTATAACATCTTGAAGCATGACAGCATAGGTAAGTTCTCATGGGCTTCACAGAAATAAAGAAATTGAATGCTTTGTACCTAAGCAGCAAGTATGCTTTCCTTCCATCTGAATACTGAAAAGATGAGAAGGCTTTTTATAACTGAAAATAAAATACCATTTAATCATATTTATATATGAGCTCTCAGACTAAAATACAAACAGTATAAAATGCAGACAGCAAGATTAGTATTTGAAGAGTAAAGCCAAAGAAAATTCAAAAGACTAATTCATTACACATTACTATTCAAGTATATTGTATGCAAATATCACTTCATCTAGAAATATATATGTAGATCAAGGCTTTTCCTATGGGAAAATATGGGCATCTGGCTACATTAAATAATGTTCCATGTAAGCAAAAAGATGGCTGAATATGTAACAATTTTTAAGATAAATATTATAATGTGAAAAAAAGAGAAAGAGCATGAATGTCCAAAATTGACAGAAGACAATACAACCTACAATGAAATGTTTTACACTCATTAAAATAGTTACAATAAAATTCACACCAGAGAAAATTCCTATTGTATGAAAAATAATGTTGAAATAATCAGGATACGAATACATGAACATAGCATGACTCCAACGTGTGTGTGTGTGAATACTGGTTGTTGCTGGGTTCTGGAGTTATGAATAATTTTATTTTGTTCTATTCTATGAGTTTGCCAAATTTTCTACAATGATAGAAGCATGTTATTTAAAACATGTCAGGCTGGATATGGTGGCTCATGTCCGTAATTCCAGCCTTTGGGAGGCTGAGATGGAAGGATCACCCAAGTCCAAAAGTTTGAGACCAGCCTGGGCAACATAGCAAGACCCCATCTCTACAAAAAATTAAACAATCAGCCAGGTGTGATGGCTAGTGCCTGTAGACCCAGCTACTCGGGAGGCTGAGGCAGGAGAATGCTTGAACCTGGGAGATAGAAGTTGCAGTGAGCTGAGGCTGTGCCACTGCTCTCCAGCCTGGGTGACAAAGCAAGATCCTGTCTCTAAATAAATAAATAAATAAATAAATATTTAAAAATGAAACTGCGTCAACAAGGTGGATGTTGTTAATTGGCAACAAGGGTCTCAGTGGTCTCCTAACATGTGTTCCCGTGCTGCAGAGGTTTTAAGGCTAATGCTCTATTTCCCAGGCTCTTCTGCAGATAAGGGTCTAGATACAAACTGTACTCCACCCACTCAGATTCACTAGCATGAGATTTTAATAGTGGTGTGAAACAGATTTTCCTGGGCTGTTATGACTGGCAGCACTTCTAGGGTGGGTCTCCAGCTTGACAAATGACAGAAGCAAGGTGAGTACACCTGGAGGCAGGGCGGTGTGTAGTGTGAAGAAGGCAGGCTCCGATGGGAGGAGTTCAGGTCCCTGGATTGCAGCACCTCTTTCACCACGAAAGCAGAGAGGGTAGCTCCACAGGCAAGCCACATGTTTGTTACTGCATAGCTTTAAAGGTTCTCCAGGACCATCCTAGGATCTGCTCTGCAAACCCTTCCAGTGATTTTGTGAGAAAAAAAATTCTAAGTGATAAATCCCTTTTGTTCAAAAATGTTTTATGATACAAACACGTTCTGTCTGCTGCAACTGAAACGGACTCACACATCCAAGATACTGAATAACTTGAAAAGAAACTTCAGTATGCTTCAAACAGTTGAAAACCTAGTTAAAAAATTTCTTTTAACTGCCAACTTGACTTGTTTGCACATCTGTGAATATCCAGGTAAATTAAATTAGGTCTATTCTAAAAGAGAATTAACTGGCACGAGACCCACTGATAAACTGGATTCTGGTTCTTTGGATAGTCTACTGCAAGATAAAGTCCTCAAAAATTTCAAGCTAATCTTAATGAAAAGATCTTCCAATGTGGCTCCTCAACACAGCTATAAAAACAAAGTATTTCAGGAGACTAAACCTAAAAGTTAAGTTCATAATTCAAAAAAATCAGAAACTAAATATACTTTTTTTCCAAGCAGACTCTTCTCAGTTTAAACCTGTGTTTTCCATGCACTTTTTTTTCCACTTGAACTACTACAGAAAGGAGTGTGCTGAAATGCAAAACAAAGTTGAAATATTTAAAACAGGTATTTTTATACCTATGCAAAGAATAAATCAAGCAAATATCAAGCTACATCCTTTTTAATCTTATGTGATTAGTATTACTTCAACATTCCTCAATATATACTGTGCTAAATTACTGGCTGCACTGAAAAAATGTTTACTAATTCATTCAACAGAAGTTTACTGAGCATCTACAGATTCAAAAGTGAAAATGACAGATTCAGCAAAATGCACATTAAATAAGAGGTGAGAAGTGTGATGAAAAGGAACAATAAGGGTTCTGACAAAGAGCATCAACATGCTTTTTGTTGTTGTTGAGATGGAGTCTCACTCTGTTGCCCAGCCTAAAGTGCAGTGGCGCAACCTCGGCTCACTGCAACCTCCGCCTCCTGGGTTCAAGCAATTATTGTGCCTCAGCATCCTGAGTAGTTGGGATTACAGGTGCATGCCAGCACACCTGGTTAATTTTTGTATTTTTAGTAGAGATGGGGTTTTGCCATGTTAACCAGGGTGGCCTTGAACTCCTGGCCAGGAGTTCCACCCACCCTGGCCTCCCAAAGCGCTGAGATTATAGGTGGGAGCCACCATGCCCGGCCAACAAATTTTTTAAAACAGACAAAACAGGTTAAAATAAAGTTTTTTCATTCAGATTAAATAAATTAGGTCAAGGACTAAAATAAATCAGGTCAAGGAATAAAATATTATGAAGACTAGACAACAAACTTCCATTTACAAGGAGACTTAGGATAAAATGATCAACTGAGTAGTCAAACTAAATTACCATGAAGTCCACTTTCATCCTTAAAAGTTCATAATGTTCTAAGTTCCTTAATGTACCTCATGAACCAATATAAATATTTGCTTATACATGTGTCAAATATCCCTGTAAGAACATAGAAAAAGCAAATAAAGAGGCTGCCTGTGAGGAGAAATGGGAGAGGAGACCAGGAGAGACAGCAAGAAAGGGACTTTATATGGTACACATATTGTGCCAAATTGTTTTCATTTTTAATGACATGAAATGGAATCTATTCAAAAAATGGATATATTAATAAGTGCATACGATACATGGCACTGATTTTCATCAGAAATTTCAAGTGTGATATAAAATAGGAGAGTATCTGAACTTTGATATGAAAGTTGGTACCATGCTCACAAAAGGCCATCGTGAAGATGCCCTGGAAACCAATGGTTTACCCAAGACACAACACTCATCATGGACACCAAGAAGTCAGGAGGGGCAAGGGATGGCAGCAAACAAGCAGAGGTGGTTACCTTCCTGTCGCAGGTTTTAGGACTCCCAGCAGTGTTCTGCTTTAGGAAGCCAGCTGTTGTTGACCAGCGTGTGGGATTTTTCCTTGAAGGCTCTTCAGAGGAAAAATTATGATCACTGACAGAAGTGGAGATGCCAATTAGAGCTGGGTCACTACTGCGTCGAACATGAAGAGGCATATCTGTAAACACAAAAGCACTACGCTGAAAAATAAGATACTAATGTTGGTAAACTATATGTTAGGAGAACACAGGGAAATCCTAAAGATTAAGGAACAGAATTTCACTTTCGTAAAAGGAGACAATGGGTCAGTATTCTAAATACAAATTCCTTTAGGTCCTTTAAAATACTACATGGTGAAAGAGATGCGGTCAAGTGTCAGCTCTGAGCAAAACTGCCCAAGTTTGTATTTGGACTTCACTCCTTGTTATCTATGTGGCCCTGGCCAGGGTGCCTAACTGTTCTCTCTGCCTCTAGTTCCTTCCAACTCAAATGAAAATAAAACAGTACATCTTTGATCAGGGTAATGTGAGTACTAAATAATATAAAGGGGTAAAGCAGTGCTTGACATATAGTGTGTACTCAGTAGAGAGTAATATAATAACCAATACTGTGATCATTGCCCCAATATTTCTAAATAATCATCACATATATCATTCAAAAAATAATGATTCTAAGCAAGTAAACAAATTTCACCTACCTTTTAATCGTATCTACTGGAATAAAAATACGGAATCTACATAGTTGACAAATAACTTATTGTATATTTCAAAGTAGCTAGAAGAGAGGATCTGAAATGTTTCCAACACAAAAAATGATAAATCATTGAGGTGCGAATATCCTAATTACCTTGATTTGACCATTACACCTGGTATGCATGTACCAAAACATCACATATTCTCCATAAATATGTAAAATTATGTATCAATTTTTTAAAATCTATAGAATCTAGACATTTGGCTGCTCTACTGAAAAATTTTGTTGAATAAAATGTTTCTTTTGTTCAATAAAGTATTACCAGAAAATATATTATTTCTACTTAAGAAAGAAAATACTTGGCCGGGCGCGGTGGCTCAAGCCTGTAATCCCAGCACTTTGGGAGGCCGAGATGGGCGGATCACGAGGTCAGGAGATCGAGACCATCCTGGCGAACACGGTGAAACCCCGTCTCTACTAAAAAAAAATACAAAAAACTAGCTGGGCGAGGTGGCGGGCGCCTGTAGTCCCAGCTACTCGGGAGGCTGAGGCAGGAGAATGGCATAAACCCGGGAGGTGGAGCTTGCAGTGAGCTGAGATCCGGCCACTGCACTCCAGCCTGGGTGACAGAGCGAGACTCCGTCTCAAAAAAAAAAAAAGAAAAAGAAAATACTCAAAGTAATACGTTAATCCGCAGGTAGTTTCTGTCATATACTCACATATACAATTACACGAAAGGTAGTATTTTAGCAAATATATTTGCATAGAAGAGCTTGCTTGCAATTGCTGTAACAACATCAATACTAAACTCAGGTGAACACTTGATCATTATCAGTAACACTGACAACAGCCTGGCAAACATGATCACCGTCACAGCAAATAAGAAACAGAATTAAAAATGCAAAGCGAAGAAGAAAAGAGTCTGCAACAGCTGGAATCAGAACTAAAAGTTCCACTCAGCAACTGAGTGAAATCACTCAAAAACATAAGACAAAATTTAAATTATGTTTAGAGTACTCTGTTTTTAAAAACTAGGATGTATTTGTTTTAAAGCCTCTAATAATACAGCTTGATTGATTGATTGATTGATTGATTGAGACAGAGTCTGGCTCTGTCACCCAAGCTGGAATGCAGTGGCACGATCTCGGCTCACAGCAACCTCCGCCTCCTGGGTTCAAGCAATTCTCCTGCCTCAGCCTCCTGAGTAGCTACAGGCTACTACAAGTGTGCACCACCATGACAAGCTAGTTTTCGTGTTTTTAGTAGAGACGGGGTTTCACCATGTTAGCCAGGCTGGTCTTGAACTCCTGACCTCAGGTTACCCACCCGCCTCAGCCCCAAAAAGTACTAGGATTACAGGTGTGAGCCACCACGTCTGGTCTAATGACATAGCTTTAACCATGAAGCAGTAAACTCATCATTTATTCTAGGAGGGATATTTCTGAAACATTAGTGCACTGGTCAATGGTAAAGATATGGAAACCTTGAGGATACCAAACTAAAGACAGGCTATTTATATACAGTGAAGGCTATATTTAAACCACTGTCAATCCAATAGTCTCCAATGAAAGCAAATTAGAACTTATCAGAGCAAACAGAAGCATATGAAACATAATAATATCAAATTTAACACTGATTTCTACATCAGGAGGATTCGATAATAATAACACAGTCTGAGCAACATTACCAGAGCAAAAATTTAGTCAACTCCGAATTTAATACTGTTGGTGGCTATCTTAATTTGCTGAGAGAAACATAAACATGAAGATTTTAATAATTTCTAGATTTTAGTGTGTATAAACACTCATGACAGCCTTTACTGCTTATTAATATACACCCCCAAAAATAAACACCAATAAGAACTATATAGTCACTCTCAGAACAAGGTCGCAAAAATACACATCTAAAAATCGATGTGCATTAATATTACAATGCCCTTACTATAAGAAAAGTTCTCTACCAAGAGGAAGCAAAATTTCCAGAATCATCACATTAAAAACTATAAGCAAAACAGCAACAAAATGGGGAGGGATGGGTAGGAAAAGACCAAATACTTTTAGACAATGTTGTTACTTAGACACAGGTTCTGTTGCTTTCCAATTACAGGGTTAATTATTCAGTTGTTAAGTACCTCTGTACACCTCAACTTCTCTCCCTCTTCCTGTCACCCATCTGTGTGTAAGTCTACAAGAAGCACTATTAACTCAGAAGAGAAGGCCTTTAAAAAATAGCACAGACATAGGACCAAAAGCAGTACCCAATATCTACAGTAAAATAATCAAATAAAAGTATATTCCAACCTCTCAGTAAATTCAGGGACGATATACTGAACTTGCTTGGTCACAATAAAACCGCTCACCCTATTGCGTTTGAAATTTTCCTCAGGAGAATACATTGCATACATGATTTCAATTAAATAATTAAGACCATCTTCTTCAGACTAGACACAAACACTGTGTTAATGTGTTAGTCTGCAACAGACAGACAAAAATAATTAGTATTTATCTCTATATACCTGTAGCTTTTGAATAAAATGTGGACTAGGGGAAAGAGGGGATTTGAGAAGAGGCAGATAACAGAGGGAGCTCCAGACCCTGTGGGATGTCTCTTATAGTAGGTGATGGAGCTCATGGATAAGGTGGTGTTTGCATAAACTGCATTGTGAAGGATGCTACAGAGAATGCTCTGTCATGCAGCCCTTCTTGTGAGTTCTTCCAACATTAAACTTTTTGTTTGCATTTCAGTGATATTGATAAAATAAATTAAATTAAATTAAATATGGTCTGGATCTCCTATTTGCACTACCTCATCACGGAGTGCTCCCATACAATTTCAGGCACCATGTTTACATTTGTGTCCACTGTCAAATTCAGGAAGGTGTCCTAGATTTGATTACCACACTGATGAGAAAGAACAAAACCCAATAAAAGAAGTCAACAAGCCCAGGTGCAATGGTTCACACCTATAATCCCAGCAGTTTGGGAGGCCAAGGTGGGAGAAATGCTTGAGGACAGGAGTTCAAGACCAACTTGGGCAACACAGTGAGATCCTGTCTCTACAAAAAATAAAATTAAAAAATCAGGCAACTGTATTAGAACTTTGCTGTAGTCCTAGGGCAGGAAGCAGGACTTGACTGCAGAGGCAGGGCTTGGACACCAGACCAAACTGTTTTAGAGGACTAGCTAAAACAGGGCTGGGACAGAAAAAGTTTTCAATCAAACACACTCACCAGCTGTCATGTCAGTTTACTATTGCCATGGCAACACCTAGGTGTTACCTACCGTTTGCATGGTAATAACCTAATGTCCCAGTTACTACTCCTTTCCTAAAAATGTCTGTATAAACTTCCCTTTAATCTGCATGTAATTAAAAGTGAGTATAAATATGATTGGAAAACTGTCCTGGGCTGCCACTCTCTGCCCATAGAGTATCCCAGCTCTGCAGAAGCAATCAGAGCTGCGGCACTGTTGCTTCAATAAAGCTGTTTTTTTCTAGCCCCAGCTTGCCCTTGAATTCTTTCCTGGGCAAAGACAAGGACCCTTATGGGCTAAGGCCCACTGTGGGGCTCACATGTCCTGCATCAGTCTCAGCTACTCAGGAGTCTTAGGTGGGAAGACCACTTGAGCCCAGGAGTTCAAGGCTGCAGTGAGCCGTGATTGTACTACTGCACTCCAACCTGGGCAACAGAGCAAGGCCCTGTCAGTCAGTCAGTCACTTAACAGCATGTTCTCATAAAAGGATGGCCAAACGACATCATAATGATGTTGAAATCAAGGTTTTCTTATGGTTGGAAGCGCTGTAAGACCTGAGTCATCATAGTACATAAAGGCACCATAACCAAGGTCCAAATAAAAAGACCCCATGCCACCCCGGGGCAGGTCTAGGTTCATACAGCATACGATTTAGACTCAGCAAGGCATCTTTATCTCTCACAGTGATATGTATCTATCTGATGGATATCTGTTACACATCTGGATGTGTATTGGTTTATGATTTCTTCTTGGTTTTATGATTGCATGAAAATTATAAGGCATTTTTATGGAGTTTTCACACACACATACACACGCATGCACATACAGTGTAGTAACATTGTACTAGAACCCACCACTTAAATGGAGGGATCTGAAATTTTTTTATTTAAATAAGGCACTACATTAGACACATAGAAAAACATGTAATGCACGTCACAGATGAGTAAGCTGAGGCTTAGAGAGATGACATGAAAAGTTTTCCAACTAAGACTTCAGGCTCCTGAGCCAGTGCTCAATCACCAAACACAAATTATGAAATCAGATCTATTAAGTTCCATTTCTAGCTACCTGAGGATATAAATGTTAGTTTCAGTTTTTTAAAAGAGAAGAATTTTGGGCCTGGCGCGGTGGCTCACGCCTGTAATCCCAGCACTTTGGGAGGCCGAGGCGGGCGGATCACGAGATCAGGAGATGGAGACCATCCTGGCGAACACAGTGAAACCCCATATTAAAA